GGTCTTCCTCAGCAAAAAGAGGAGGATTAGCATGGATGTTAGCTCAGGGCTGATCTTCCTCACACACACACAAAAAATACATTTATTTAATGTAGTCAAACTTATGAATTATACAGCTTATCTTCAAACAACCATAATTAAAGTTAAAAGACAAGTCTCATACTGGCAGATGATTTGCAACTCACATAATCCACAAAGATCACAGCCAAAATTCATCAAGAACTCCTACACAACAATAAGGAAAAGCAACATCCTGACAGAAAAATGGGCAATGATTATGATCCAGAAATTCACAGCAGAAATCTAAGTGGCCAACAAGCAAAAAACGATGCCCAGTCTTACTACAACTGGCAAAATGAGAAGTAACATATCCCCCAATGGAATATTACACCACAGTTAAAACAAACGAAGTAGAGCTATAAATCTCAAAAATAATGTTGACTGAAAAAAAAATTTGTAAAAGGTTGACACAATTTATTCCATGTTTCATGCTTTTTTGTGTGTGTGAGGAAGATCAGCCCTGAGCTAACATCCATGCCAATCCTCCTCTTTTTGCTGAGGAAGACGGGCTCTGAGCTAACATCTATTGCCAATCCTCCTCCTTTTTTCCCCCAAAGCCCCAGTAGATAGTTGTATGTCATAGCCGCACATCCTTCTAGTTGCTGTATGTGGGACACAGCCTCAGCATGGCCGGAGAAGTGGTGTGTCGGTGCATGCCTGGGATCCGAAGCCAGGCCGCCAGTAGCAGAGCGCATGCACTTAACCACTAAGCCACGGGGCTGGCCCTATTCCATGTTTCAAATAAATGAAATTTTAAACAAATAGTTACATATATAGTCATGGCAACAAAACCATACTTGGGAATGAAACACCAAGTCTTGGGTAGCAGTTACAGTTATAGTGGTATATATCGGCTTGCCTGAGCCAATTCTGCACATCTCTTCCTAATTCTGTGTTCAGTGGTATCTTGTTAGTAGCTTGAAATCTGCTCTGATGGGAGTGTTTACACCATAGAAATTGGCACACGCTATAAATTCCAGATTCCCCATCCCTTGTCCACACCCTGGAGAACTGGTTTACCAGCACATCGGTGTGCCATTCTCCCCAGAGGGGAATGCAATTTGGAGAGGTATATGAGAGCCTTCAACAGTATTTGTCATGTCTTTATGCTTTAAAGAATTTCCAAAGCAAATATGGCACAAGGAAAAGCTTTGACAGAGTGGGGGTGGTTCATGGGTGGTTATCACATTACTCTCTGCTTTTCCGTATTTTGAAAATATTTCCTGAAAAACAAAATTGAGTCAGCTGAATTTTTCAGTTCAGCATAAAACCATTTTCTATTTGCCCTCTTTAATTTTAGAGATTTAAATCTTGCTTAGTCGGTCACAATAGTATTATATTATGTTGAAAAACCTGGACTTGAACTAATAAAAGAAACTTTAAAGTTATTTCAAGCCCCAATCACAGATTTGCCAGATAGTTGTATCTTTGAAATCAACTGACGTAGGGTATATAATAAAGGATTCATAAGAGGTATTCACACAAAAACTCACATCAATCCTCTTACTTAACCAAATATAATAGCAAAGACATTTCAGCTCTAAATTTAGACTCTAGATTTAAGAGAAAGGAAGTAAAAATGAATAGGGATGAAACAGTACAGACAGTTCAACAGTAAAAGTTAAACAATAAGATATTCTTGAAATAATACTAAAATAAAATAATAAAAAATAATAATACCAACAGGGATTTGACAAAACCAAGTATTCAAAATAGGCTAGGTTGGAATTCCAGCTCTATGACCTTGAGCAAAAGACTTTCTACACTTTACAATTGATTCCTCATCACTAAGATGTGTATCCAAGATGCATCCTATCTACCTCTGAGAGCTAGGATGATTAAATGAGATAATGCATGTGCAGGGGATATATAGATGTGATCTAAAAAAGGGACAGGCATGGGCCGGCCTGGTGGCGTAGTGGTTAAGTTCGAGTGCTTCCCTTCGGCAGCCCGGGATTCGCAGGCTTGGATCCCAGGCACGGACCTACGCACCGCTCATCAAGCCATGCTGTGGCGGTGTCCCACATATAAAGTAGAAGAAGATGGGCACAGATATTCGCCCAGGGCCAATCTTCCTCAGCAAAAACAGGAGGATTGGCAACGGATATTAGCTCAGGGCTAATCTTCCTCACCAAAAAAAAAAAAAAAAAAGGGACAGGCACGAACACAGTCATGTATTAATTGTGTCACTACACCGATGCCTCACATATCATTATCTGGGTACTCATTCCCTCTGACTCAGGTTTATTTTAGACATGTCTGACTTCCTCGTTCAGAGATCACCAAAGAGAAAAGAACAGAGAACTGATTCAGGAATATAAAGGTCTTCTGAGTCTTCCAACTTTGGCAGACTGGGGTTTGGAGTCAGCGGAGCCCAGATGAAGCATAAAAAGTGATATTGCACATAAAGCTCTACGGCCTCTGGCATGAAGTGAACACCAGATAAACAGTCACTACCATCAACTTACAGCCAAACCACCAGGGGCCTCCCAGCATCGAGGCCTCGTCCCTCTTCCCAGGTTACAGAGCCATTGGTGGGCTCTGGAAGGAGAAGCCATGCAGGGGCTCGCAGGATTTTACCATCATCAACTGCTAAATGGAAGCGTGCTTTAACACCAACATATTACTAATGAACATGCAGACTCTAAATCTCCTAATTCAGTTTTTTTATGCCCTTTCTCTCTTTTCTTATGTTTATTTGATCTAGACAGTGTTTCTCAACCATGGCTGCACATTATAAACACCTGAGGACCTTTTAAAAAATTCTGGGGGCTGGCCCAGTGGCGCAGCAGTTAAGTTTGCGTGCTCTGCTTCAGGGGCCTGGGGTTCAGGGGTTCAGATCCTGGGTGTGGACCTATGCACTGCTTATCAAGCCCTGCTGTGGCAGCGTCCCATATAAAGTAGAGGAAGATGAGCACGGATGTTAGTCCAGGGCCAATCTTCCTCAGCAAAAAGAGGAGGATTGGCAACATATGTTAGTGCAGGGCACATCTTCCTCACCAAAAAAAAAAAAAAAAAAAAAAATCTGATGCCCTGGCCCTACCCCAGACCAATTAATCAGAATTTCTGGGGGTAGAATCTATCATATTTTTTTAAAAAGTTTCCTAAGTGATTCCAGTGTGTAGCCCAGGTTGAGAATCACTATTTTGGACCATGATAATTGGTTTTCAAAGTCGAATGAGTCTAATGAAAGAGATGTTGCAATACTGCCATATTTTACATCCTAGACTTCTGAAATTAAAGGATGAGTTGATGCAATTCAATAAACATGTCTCCCCGAGGCCAGGTTTGTGCTAGGTGTTAAGGATTCAAAGGTGGCAAAGGAGATGTGGATCCTGTCCCCAAGGAGCTCACACATACCAACTGCAGTAAGCAAAGAGGGTAGAATTTATCATGGGATTTTACTATAACAAAATTAACGTCATGAATGGCTAATATTTTGGTGATTACTCTTTGCTGGCATCAAGGAGGGCACTTTAGGTGTATCAGCTCACTGAAGTTTCACAATAATCATATGAAATAGATATTTCTATGTTTCCATTCATTCATTCTGCAAAAGACTGGATGCTTCCAATGGGCCAGGCACTGTTTTAGGCACTTGGGCAGTAATAAAGCAGAGAGACCCCTGCCCTCGGGGGGTGTTCTGTGAGTGCAGGTGGGGAGGAAAGAAACAACAGACATAACACAAAAGTCAATCATATAGTATGTCAGAAATTGATAAAAGCCGCGACAAAAAGAAAGAGCAGAGCAGGTAAGGTGTGTGTGTGAGTGCTGGGAAAGCGTCATTGAGAAAGGAAGATTTGAGCAGAGACTTGAAGTGAGGGAGTTATTCTACTCTGCTTAAAGAATCACCCAAGATGTGGTGTATATATATATATATATTTATAAAATGGAATACTACTCAGCCATAAAAAAGGACAAAATCATCCCATTTGCAACAACATGGACGGACATTCAGGGTATTATGTTAAGCAAAATAAGCCAGACAGAGAAAGGCAAACACCACATGATTTCACTCATATGTGGAAGATAAACAAGCACATTGATAAAGAGAACAGACTAGTGGTTACTACAGGGGAAGGGAGTGGGGAAGTGGTTGAAAGGGGTAAAGGGGCACATATATATGGTGGTGGATGAAAATTAGACTATTGGTGGTGAGCATGATGCAGTCTACACAGAAACAGGTATATATAATCATGTACACCAGAAATTATACAATATTATAAACCAATATGACCTCCAAAAAATAATTTAAAAAATAAAATAAATAAAAAATAAAGACTCAGCCAAGGATACAGACATGGCTCAGCTGGCAAAACCAGATATGTCTTAACCTGCCTACTACCTGGTCTTCCAAGAAGTATCACAATATAATAACTGATTTGCTTGTCCCATGCCCTTCGGGCCCCTGTCTATCTTGTTCACTGTCGTAAATTTCTAAGCCCAGTGCCTGCTACATAGTAGGTACTTAAAATGTGCTTGAATTAATCATTTTTAATTTTAATTATTAATTAATATGAATTAATACATGTTAGGACTTAAAAGTATTCATTGTGTGTTTACTGTGGCCTGCCCACTCTGTAGGCAGAAGAACATTTTTTGAAAATCTAGTGGAGGTAGGGATGCTGTGGACGAAGCCACCATGTATTTCTGGATACTCTGTTCATGTTGTGTTGTGGGAGAAATATGTCACTGCTCTGTCAGGGCAAAGAGGTCTCTTCTCTGAGCCAGGAGGATGGAGCGGGTCAGCATATTGATTAAATGTGAGGCTCGGATACAAACAAGGATGATTGCAGGTAGAAGACTTCCTGACATGATAGCCCACAAAAATCCATGAAGTCGACCTCAGGGATTAGAGGTAAAGTGTTCTTAGGCCACTTTCATTTGAGAGAAATTCATAATGTTCCCTTGTGAGAACAGTCTTTTGAGTATTAACTTACCTATTAAAGTGGTAGATATCCTCTATGTTTCCAAAAAGGGCTGATCTTTCTTCTGTCCCCAGAGGAAGTTTTGTTTGGTCCCTGATGCAGTCAAGGTAATCCTGTGAAATCAACAAGAAGGATGTCTTAAACACTCCTGGCGTTTCCAAGTCATCTTCAGTTATGCAAGACGGATCTTTCACATCAGTTTCAAGTAATTATTATACGAATGTGCTCCTTAACTCTACTATGAGAATACGGAGTCTCTTATTAATGATGCATAACAACATCATCCACTGTTTCCTTGACTGATTTATACGCTAAAAAGATACTCCAAAATTCATATACCGGGAAACCAGAAATAAAAATTTTGAAATGTGACAGTTGTTTTAAACATAACCTTTAAGTTGGAAAGCTATCAGTTGTTAAAGTATAGAACTAAATCCATCCTCAAATACCAATTTATTTAAAAAAAAAACCCCACTTTTTAAAATAAAATAAGCACAAAAACTCACTTATGCTATCTAATAGGCTATATTAATGAGCCATGGAAAACTCTGAAATGATTTTATATATTTTAACAAAGAAATGACTCCCCAACAGAGCTAATGTGGGCTCAGACCCACAGTGGGTTAAATGTACGTGGCTTAGAAGCTATTTGAACTGCTGAGAGAGGGCGTGCTAAAGAGTTCATAACGGAGTGTTCCCCTTCCCCTAGCAATGCTTGAAAAAAGAACTCTGTGGGAGGCAAGAAAACAATAAAGAAAAAAGTGAAAACAGCTGAAATAACGTAAAATGAAAAATAAACACAATCCTCTGCTCTGGAATGAACAATGTAGTATGGCTCTCTACCAATCGTCACAGGGTGTTCTGTAGTATGTGGAGGAAGTAACCCCGTGAAAAGTCAGCCAGACCGTGCAAATCCCAGCATTATAACCGCATTCCAACGTCCAATCACAAACACCATAGTATGTGGGTGCAACCAGAGAAAGGAGAAACTGAAATTTAAGAACCATCAGATAATGATTTCTTTTATATTTCAATAAGTCACATTCACTCTCTCATCCTCTTAATGTTCCTCAAATAAAAAACAGGCCAGGCTTCATCATTAATTTTCTCAATAGCAAATTTCACAGACTGCATCAAATAACTTCCCATTCTAGTTCTTTAATACTAAAATCATTGTCACACATGAACCAATGTTCCTAAGCCCTTTTTTCGTTTAATAAGCTTTGTGGTAACATCTTTTCTCCTTCAGAATGTGGTCATCTCCCTAAGACATTAGATTCACAAGGTTTAAGTATAATTGGCATTAAAAACCCGCAAAAGCAAGACCTAGCCTCCTTAAGTTTTATGAATGGAACAATTATAAGAAGCTTAAGCATCTGCATAGGATATAGAGTTAATGCCCAAAGAAGAAATGCCAAAGAAGGCTAGAATTGAAATCAGAGTATATTTTGAACCACATGGAAACCTAACCTACACTTCCTCAAAAAACTAAATGGATTCATTGATATTTTCATAAAATTACATATGGTACCAAAAAATGGGCTAATATTTAACTTGCATTGAATGCTTATCTTTGCTGGTCGTGTAATACTTTGATTGACATTTTAAAAGGACACATTGTATGCAAAATTAAGAAGGGCAGAAGGTTATAGATGGGGATGAAATTAACAAGTCAAACAGAAGGCTATGGATAGGCATGATCCACACCAAATAGCAGGATGAAGGGTGGGGTAGGGACGACATATGCATGCCTAGTTCACCTGGCTGCCTGCAATGGATGGTGTATCTAGAAAACGAAGGATCTTTTTTCTCACTTTGAGTTCGAAGCTTGCTCATTTGCAGAAACCTGATACTAAATTCTTCATGCAAGGGAAAAGCTTGAGTTAAGGGGCTTGAAGAATTTCATCTGGGGTTAGAGACAGAGACATGGCCCACTTCCAAAGAATGATGGCCCACCTCCAAAGGAAAGTTTCAAAGCCCCCGAGTCCATGATAGAGAAACTAGATTTTAAAAGCTGCTTCTTTTCTGAAATTGTTGAGAAAATAGATCGTTGAGAGTCCAAATTTTTGCAGGCCTCTCTAGAAAACAGATCAAAGTCCTGTGGCCACAACTCATTCCCTCCACTGATCATCATTAAGTCTTTTAAATACGATACTTTAACCCTACACCAGTTACTGAAAACTACTGTAGCATGCACTGCATTAACAGCAGTAATCATTTGAGGCCAAAATGAGAGGTTTGCAGCTCAGTGATAATAACAGTTCATTTCTGTGCTCAAATGACAGAGTAAAGACACCAATGAAATCTATTAGAGCTGTCACACTGCTTATTAATTTTATTAGCTTGATGTCAGCCCCTATGTTTACCCCACAGTTAACAATGAAAGATCAATTTAAAACTTTTGCATTGAAAACAATTATTGTCCAAGAGAGGATCTAAGAATTTGCTCTACTTTTGGGAGGGAGGGGCTGGGGAGATAGACACAAAAAAGAGCTTTTCACCATTTGAAAGATTTTCTATTATACTATTTTAAATTTCACCTAAAGTACGTATTTTCTAATCACTTTATGTCCTTAAGATCTCCATCATTATAAGATGTGTACACGAGTATCCTCTTCTCGTTAACTTTTTCATTCCTTGTAATGTCTGTTACTGAAAATATCCAAGTCGAGTCTAACGCGGTGCTATTTGAAGTGTAGCATATGGACAGGAGTGTTTGCAAACTGTTTGTTACTGATCTGCAGCAAGATAAGTGCAGAAATCGAGAGCAAGCATGGAGCAACTTTTATAGCATTTCAACAGACTGATATTTGTTGAATCTAATGATAAATTTGGGCTTGTATTTTGCATGCCTGACTGCTTCTATTTTATGTTTCTACTAATTCATTTTTCATTGTATTTTACAAAAGTGTTAGTGTGTGACTGATTAGCACACACACACATCCCTCACCACAGATGGTTTGCGGATCCCTAGTCTAGATAACCATGCAGCAGAGACGCTGGAGAAAGGATGCCACCAGAACAGGGACAGAATTCAAATTCAATGTCCTTGGCAGGTGGCCTTCTTACTTTCTCTTTTTCTTTTTTTGCTGAGGAAGATTTGCCCTGAGCTAACATCTGTTGCCAATCTTCCTCTATTCTGTACGTGGGATGCCGCCACACCATGGCTGCTGACGAGTGGTGTAGGTCCGCGCCCAGGATCCGAACCTAAATACCCGGGCCGCTGAAGCGGAGCGCAGAACTTGAACCACTGGGCCATGGGCTGGGCCCTCGCCTTATTTCTTTAAGACGCCCAGCAAGAATTAAATTAATGCCCCCGCCCCCATCTCCCCTTTTCCTCTAAAATAACATTTAAAACGTTTTAAAGTTACCACCTGTTTAACATGATAATGAAGATAAACCACAAGAAGAAGATATTTATTTAGAATTATCAAGTCCACCAGTACTTTATATCCTTTCCACTCTCCTCTCCCTTGTAGAGAGTCCTGTTGCAGAAACAACAAAAAATGTTCTGTTCCTGAATCCTCTTGCTCACATTTCAAAATTCTACCTAGTGCTTTTATGGTTCACTCTTTTTGGTCTAGCTTCTGCTGTCAGCACTCCCAAATTCCAAGCCCTTTGATATAACTCCTACGTAGGATGTTTTTTGTCTTTATTTTGGAGGAAGCCTCTTTTTCTGTTTCTCCAATCCCTCCACCTTTTCTAGAACGTAGTCATTTGTTTACCCCCAAACCTGCCCTCCACATTTCATGTATTACATTGGGAGGCCATTGATACTACAACAACTTACAGCTGTACACCACTTTACAGTTTAAAAGCACATTCACATTCATTCACACAAACCCTCCTTCCCCCCTCTTTTTGAGGACATAAGAAGCGTGGTGCCAAGCTCTCTTTTACAAGCTAGGAATTTAAAAAATGAATAAAACATGATCCCTTCCCCCAAGGAGCTCCCTATGTAGTTGAAAGACAAATGTAAACAAATCAGTACAATACAGTGTTTAGGCAGCATAACTGATAAATATTCAGTACAGTAGTCCCCCCTTATCCACAGTTTCGGTTGACCACAGGTCGAAAATTAAATAGAAAATTCCAGAAATAAACAATTCATAAGTTTTCAATTGCGTGCTGTTGCTGTTCTCAGTAGCGTGATGAAATCACCACCCCGCTCGGTCCGGCCCGGGATGTGAATCATCCCTTTGTCCAGCAAATCCACACCGTATACCCTACCCCCCCATTAGACACTTAGTAGCCGTCTTCGTTATCAGACCCACTGTCCTGGCAACGCAGGACTTGTGTTCAAGTCACCCTTATTTTACTTAATAATGGCCCCAAAGCCAACTTTATTATTAGTTATTGTTGTTAATCTCTTATTGTGCCTAATTTATAATTAAACTTTGTCATAGATATGTATGTATAGGAAAAAACATAGTCTATAGGGTTGCGTGCTATCCATGGCTTTGGGCATCCACTGGGGGTCTTGGAACGTATGCCCCATGGATAAGGGGGGACTACTGTACATCGAGAGAGGAGGAAGGGTCAATTCCAGGGCAGGGAGAGGCTTTATAGCAGAGGTGATGGGGAAGCTGCATCTTTCAGGATGACCAGGAGTCTGAATGGAGAGAAAGGAGTAAAAAGGAAGACAGAGAAGAGTAAACAGAGGCCCAGGGTAATGCAACGCAGGGGCAGGGCGCAGGCAGGACACTGAAAGGAGCTGAGATGGGCTAGAGGGAGCAGGGCACGAGCATGCGCACACAGAGCCTGGAGGCGGGGCTGCAACGTGAGACAGGCTGGAGTGAGGACAGGACTGCTCCTGGAGAATCTTCCGCGCTCTGCAGGTGGTGGCAACCACCGAAGGATGTCATCGGAACAAAGACCATTTCAGCATCAGTAAAGAAAACAGAACAGAAAGTATAAAACCACTGATGGGGAGGCCAGTTAGACCAGTGGGCGAGGCAGGGCAGGTAAGACCAACCCAAGTCCTCAACAGCCTCCCTGGAGAGGAGCGGTATTTAATTGGCTGTGGAGAATGAGAGAAAGGAGCCAGTCAAGGGTGAGAGCCACCATTTAGGTGACTGAGGGTCGGTGTTGCCTTCCAGGAGAAGGGAGTAGG